TAAGGTACGTCTTTAGATACTAAACAGAACTTACTCTAAGGTATTTTAGATACTAAACAGAACTTACTCTAAGGTATTTTAGATACTAAACAGAACTTACTTTAAGGTATTTTAGATACTAAACAGAACTTACTTTAAGGTATTTTAGATACTAAACAGAACTTACTTTAAGGTATTTTAGATACTAAACAGAACTAATGTATCAAACGGATCTCAATGTACAATCTGATGTTTATACTTTCGATTTTTTAAAATTCATATATTTGGTAAGTTTTCTGAAAGGTTAATTTTTTTGTGATTTTAATAAATAATAAAACAATATAGTCCTCAGTAAACGTTCTTGTTTTTTTTTCTCATCACATATATCACAAAGGATGTTTTAGCAATTATTGCTATTATAAAGTAATGGAAAGAATAACAAAAAGAATTAGACTTTTTTTTTAAACGGTGCTGCTACTGATAAATTTAGATACATAAGTCAGATCACTTACAAATATTATGAACATTTTTTCCAGTAAAGTAGAATATAACACTTGTGTTTAACATAACACTACTGATTTTAACCCAAATAACACCGAATTTCGTATAGCGAAAAAAAAGAAGCTTAAATTTATCCAGTGGAAATCTCCTCAGTGTGTTTAACAAATTCTCTGTTTACTGATAGCTGAGCTTGTAATCTAAGCCAATCAAACAGAGTTCCCAACCAATTTCCTGCTAACTTCCTTTATTACTTCCTGAAAATTTAACTGCACCTTTCCACGAACTTGAAGGACGTTTTTTTTTCCTTCTCCTGACTCGCTCCTTTTCAATTTTAATATACGAGAAAAAAAAAGATCTCGGGTGTGGAAAATTTGATGTTTTGTCATTTCTTCTCAGATACGAACTTCGACAGGAACGTTATGTAAACTTCTGCTTGATGATGCAGTCTGATGATGTTCAGATTGTTACCGTTTACTTTATCATAAGTCAGTTGACAAGGAGCTTATTTCATCATCAAAAAAATAAAAGTTCCACAAGTTATACCCATGCTAAAGAAAGAAATACAAATCACGGAGAAACGATTTTCTATGGAGTAAAATGTTCTATTCGTTAAAACTAAAACTATATATGACAACTGGGATTAGGAAAACTATTCTTAGAGGCTTTTAAGTTTTGAGTTTTGAAATATTTTTATTTTCTCATTTGACTTGTGATAGATATTAAATAGAATACTGTTATCCCGGAGCGTTCCTCAACTTTTGTGGTGTACTGATATGTTATGAGACACTCCTGAAGAAGGTTTTCAATAAAATATTGAGTAACAAAAATATATTCTGAAGCTAGAAGACGTTATTTTATAGTTTTAGTAGTTATGACTAGTAACAAACTCGAGTTACTGTTTAAAAACAATGTTTCACTTGTATTTCTTTGTATTTTCCTATTAAATACGTCGTGGTTCGTGAGCATTATACGTTGTTCATGATGTAATTTTGTTATAATTTTAATACAATTTGTCCTTACAATATGATGACGTTAAGTATTCTGTTTAAAAACAAACTTTAAAGTTCCGCAACACTGTACATAAACATGTGTTGAATGGATTATTAAAGATTCTTCATATTACCAGAGTGTTTCCAACATCATGACTGTAAACACTCAGCTTTTTCGTACGAGGTTACCAGTAAGGAAACTTTCAACTACCTTACTAGGTTACCAGTAAGGAAAGTTTCAACTACCATACTAGGTTACTAGTAAGGAAAGTTTCAACTACCTTACCAGGTTACCAGTAAGGAAAGTTTCAACTACCATACTAGGTTACCAGTAAGGAAAGTTTCAACTACCATACTAGGTTACTAGTAAGGAAAGTTTCAACTACCTTACCAGGTTACCAGTAAGGAAAGTTTCAACTACCATACTAGGTTACTAGTAAGGAAAGTTTCAACTACCTTACCAGGTTATCAGTAAGGAAAGTTTCAACTACCTTACCAGGTTACCAGTAAGGAAAGTTTCAAATACCATACTATGTTATCAGTAAGGAAAGTTTCAACTACCTTACCAGGTTACCAGTAAGGAAAGTTTCAAATACCATACTAGGTTACTAGTAAGGAAAGTTTCAACTACCTTACTAGGTTACCAGTAAGGAAAGTTTCAGGTTACCAGTAAGGAAAGTTTCAACTACCTTACCAGGTTACCAGTAAGGAAAGTTTCAACTACCTTACCAGGTTACCAGTAAGGAAAGTTTTAACTACCTTACCAGGTTACCAGTAAGGAAAGTTTCAACTACCTTACCAGGTTACCAGTAAGGAAAGTTTCAACTACCTTACCAGGTTACCAGTAAGGAAAGTTTCAACTACCTTACCAGGTTACCAGTAAGGAA